TAAATAGGGAGGAGTGGAGGGGTTGAAGGGAGAGCAGGGGTATGGGGAAAAAATAAGAACCAAGATATATCATGTAAAGGTACAAATCCCAATGATGAATGTCATCATATCGTATACCTAAAATGTACCAATAAACTTAGTGAATGAAAGAAAATAGAAAACAGGAAAAACCTTTGCAATTTCTGTCACACGATCACAGGATCTCAGCTTGAGTAGAGAGTATGATTAGATCCTGTGATGGGAAACAGCCAGGCAGGTCTGGGGAAAAGGTGGAGCAGCCTAGAGGAAGTAAATGAGAAAGAGGCTGAGAACTCATTGTAAAGAAAGATCCAGGCACTATAAACCTGACCTAGGAACTATCTTCCATTCACACAGGGTCTCCAGTAACACACTTCCAAACACCTTTGACATTGGCACAGCACTTCTGCAATTTCAGTAAATACATTCTTGTTTTCACCGTGACCAAGACCATGACTATTGGATTTATCACTTTGTCCTAGCTCAGTCACCCTGGCAGTCATAGCTGCTCACTCAATATTTGAATGAATAAACAAATTCTGAGTACAGCATGGTAGTTGGCAGCTTAATCTGTTTTTGTCTAGCCCCATGGAAGCATGCCTGGGCCTTAGGGTTACAGAACATTCTAAATAAAATAATTGTTGGTGTGAACTCCTTAAAACTCCAGGGATGTAAGCAACACCACTTTACAACATGTAAAGAGTGGAACAGGGGCATATGAGCTATTCAGGATGAGCTTTGGAATCTCAGAATTTCAGAATTCACACCAGCAGTTCCTCGGTTGAGGAGCAGAGTAAACCATATTCTCACTTTTCTTTCATCCTTCCAACCCCCTTCAATAATTCTAAGTCAGCCATCCCCTACTTCAAGATGGCCTTTCTCTCCTTTTCTATGCTAATGTTTTAGAGCTACATTAATCAAATTAGCTATATTTAACTTTAATGGGTTTTGCAACTATTAATATATTTCCTGAGATATTTTTGCAAGAGAAAAGCTTTCCTATTCTGTTCACATATTCGGTTCTTAGCTCATGCTTCATATTAATGCCAGTGGCTTACAGTTCTTGACTTTAAATGTGGCCAGCTCTTTGTACTGTAAGATCATAATGTGGTTTACAAATGAACATGGTACAGTCGGTGCTGAGGAAGTTTTCTGACCACTGTCTGGATAATGAAAGCAATCCATAATACCATTGATTCTCTCACCACAAAACTCTAATAAATTGACTCTCAATTTCTTTGCCCTTTTTCTTGTTAAGGCATCAGGATTCAACATCAGTTAGTCTCAAAATATCTCTCCTATCAATGTCTTGGGTCTTTTTTTTTAATCTATTGACTTGATAACATTTTTATTTTTAAAAGCCAAGTCAGTCTAGCTTTTGCCTCTTATTTTCTCATTTGGGTTCATTCAAGTTTCAATAATGAAATCACTTCCATCTTTCTTACCTTGTTCTTGCCCAAGACTGAAAGTGAAATACCGCAGCTTGGGAATGACTTAATGGGGACTGTGTCCAAGCTCAGCACTGCATGCAAGGGAAGGCTGTTCTCTCCATTAGAAAAATACTAGAGTGAAGTAGGGAGAAAGGGAGGTGGGAGAGGGCATTGGGAGCATTGAGATTTGCATGGAAAGAATTTTCTAGACCAGGGTCCTTCTGAATTCTTAAGAGTTTGGCATATGCTCTCCAAAGTGTATCTAATAGTCTTCAACATGATTTCAGCCCTATTTCATCAAAGGTTCCATGTTGTATTTCAATAATCTATAACTTTGCATTCTTTTTTCCACATGATGTGTGTTCCATCTAACGCTTTCCCTGTGTCACTAAACAGACAAAATCTCTGGTGTCAGTAATAAAAAAGGAATAAATTACTGATACATGATACAGCAAGGGTGAACCTTGAAAACAGGCTAAGTGAAAGAAGCCAGAGACAAAAGACTAAATTTTATAGATTCCATTTGTTTGAAATGTCCAGAATAAGCAGATCCATAAAAAAAGAAAACAGATAAGTCATTTCCAGGGGCTGGTGGGGAGGACTGGATTGGAAAGGGATGGCTATGGCTAATGAGTACAGGATGTTTTGGAGGATGATGAAAATGTTCTAAAACTGAGTGTGGTGATAGTTATGCAACATTGTAGGTTCTAAAAAACATTGATTTGTACACTTTAATTGGGTGAGTTGTGTGGTGTTATTTATATCTCAATAAAGTGCTCTTTCTCACACACACATACACACATGCACACACACACACACCAACCCTGGGTCGGGGGAAAGGGAAAAAAGAAGAAGTTGGTGATAAGAGGAAATAGTAAAATGCAGAGAAATCAGAGAGAGACTTTTTTAAGAAAAGGGGGGAAATGTTCTTGTAAAAATAGAGCTTTTTACCCAATTCCTAAGAAGAGTGCAGTCTCTAAAATATGTTCTGGAAATAGCAGGAACCAGCAGGAGGGGTGAAAAAAAAGGCTGGATCAATGCTGCAGAAGTGGAAAACAGACAAAGGGCAAAGCCAACAACCGAATCAAACACACCAAAGTGAACAGAACACCAGGAAGCGAAGCGGAAGCCGCCTGCAGGGACAAAGCCACAGGAAAATAATTTTAAAATAAAAATTAAATGGGACAAGGGAGCCCACTTTCTTCTGGCCTCTTCTCTCTTTTGTCCCCTACCATACACACCCCCTTTACCCATTCCTTCCCCTCTACCTATTTTCTTTCTACCCCTCCCCCCAGTCCCTATTCTAACCCTGTTTACAAACTCAGTAGGGTCCTTCTTCCCGCAAGTTGCTCTTCCTGGTGAGCCTGCACAGCACCCATGGACTGGCTCTGAGTGTTCGGCCTCAGGACACACACAGAGGATGAGCAGTGGCCCTGGGAGCTTCCACCAGCAACCAGCTCCTAGGAGCCTCTGCCTGTACATGTCCTCTATAGAAGGCCAGGATGCAGCCAGGAAGAAACCACCTTTACAAAGCAGCTGGGGAAAGCCACTTGATGCAGGCCGCTCAGCAGCATGTAGAGCAGGCAGTGTGCCGGAGCTGGCTCCTTTGACTTCCTCCTTGCCACCCATGTGGCCAGGGCCCTAGACCATGAGGCAGGAAGTCCAGAGTGCTATTTTTTAGCTATAACATGTGGCCTGGGGCAAATCTTTAAATCTACTTCCCATTCTGCATTCATGCAGCAACTTTTTCTTCTGGGTTGCCTAGGGTCATTGACACTATTGTGATTTCCATTCTAAAACTCTGAAATCAGAGAAACCACAAAACATGTCCTTCTCTCCAAAGTCTCTAAAACACAAAGTGCACCACAGAATCAGCCCAGGATTAGGGCCTATGTCTCTGCCCGCCTCCATGTCAAATAGACATAGGGTAATTATCCAGGTGACACTGATAGTGCCTTATAAAAGGCTATGAGGAAAAACATAAAGGTACAAGAGGTAATATATTTGTCTACTCAGACTTTTTTTTGGTAGTGGGATCAAACTCGAGACCTTGTGCTTTCGAAGCAGGGGCGGGAACCATTGAGCTAAATCCCCAGCCCCTAGCCCAACCTTTTTTTTTTTTTAAAGAACTTTAATGGCACATGCCTTTAATCCCAGCACTTTGGGAGGCTGAAGCAGATGGATCATAAGTTTGAAAACAGCCTGGGCAACTTAGTGGTACATACATATGTATGTTTGTTTGTTTGTTTGTTTGTTTTTGATACTAGTGATCGAACTCAGGACCTTGTGCTTACAAGGCAGGTGCCAGAACCACTGAGCTACATCCCAGACCCCTGTATATATATATTTTTTAAAGGCTGGGGATGTAGCTCAGTTCAAAGGCTCTGGGTTCAATCCCCAGTACAGGGTGGGGGTGTGTGTGCTTTAAATCATGTAAATTTACTGCTTAAAAAGAAAAAAATCAAAGCCTTTGCCTGAGAGGACCCAGAGAGGGAGAAAGAGTCTCTTAGTATTTCTTTGGTGTAGGATGGCAAGCTGCCCAAGTATACTGTAATGACTCAATGCAAGAACGGGGTGCCCTCACTCATGTTTGTTCAGATATGTGTGTGGCAACCCATTTGGACAATAGCAGTGACCTGGCTCTGTAAATACAATTTGCATTTTCAGAACTGTGCATCAAGTCAGACCCTCTAAGGAACTGGGCACACAGAAATTAGAAATTCAATCCCTAAAAAATGTTTTAAAAAACAATTACCATCACCTGACTCCTATCCACTTGCTGTCCACCAAGTTCAAGAGATAAGTCTAAGAAATACATAATTAAGGGAATCATTTCCTGCAGCATCATACCATCAGAGAGCACTTATTAGGGATCTAATTGCTTATGGGTCTTGGCTAATCACTGTACAAAGAATTGCATAGAACTGGTCTCAGCCTCCCTCTCTGGCTTTCAAGGCCTTACCATGTAAGGTAGACATCACTCACCTGGACAAACAGGTTCAGGACACAAGAGCAGATGGGAACTTTAAATGTCCCAGTGACTAGACACTGAAGCATTCACAGGTCACTGTCCGTGGGGTGGGGGGCCAGGGAGAGCATACCTGGCATGAGTAGCTGCTGGGTTTCCCAGGCACACTCGGGCTTCATTGCAGAGACTCCCTGCCCTCTCAGAAGATACCAAACCAATCTCCTGGTGACCAGGGAAGACTGCCTGGGCGGCAGGCAGAAGGGTGGAGGTTTGGGGGTAAATAGCTGGGCTGGAGTGGGAGGAGGCAGGAGCAAGTGGCCAAGGTGTGCCCAACAGAAAACAGAGGTGGCTCTTCAGAGAGGAGAACAGACCAGAGGAACAGGACAGAGAGCAGCTGTGGCTGGCCGCCCCACCCACATCTCCAGCCCCAAGGGCTTTCTCAAGTGTTCTGCAGTGCTCAGAGCCCTAGAAGACCTGGTAGGCGAGTGGTTGGTGGGAGCGGGGAAAGGAGAAGGTAAGTGGTGAGGCCTGACAGCAAGAGGATCACAGCTACACTGGCGAATATGTGCTTAGATCTGCACTTGAGGAGGAGAACCCGCAATAGAGCACATGGTTCTCTGCTGACGGATGGAAATCTTACAGGAGGGCATCCATGGGCTCTGAACTGTCTGCTGCCTTTCGTTTAGAATCTGGCCTCATAAAGGGATTTGACAAGTTCTTAAACCTGACTCAATGTCATCCAGCCTCCATAGTCAAAGAATTCTGTCACAGGAAAGGATCAAAAAAGCAGCCACCCTTCTTAGATTGGTAAGAGAAGTCAGGTCACAGAGCTAAGCATTGTTCCAAAGTTGGGAGAGACAGGCACATAGAGAGAGAGAGAGTCGTAGTTTACTCATGTGGAAACCCACTTACAGAAGTTGGGAAACCTAAACTGTGATTGATCCATTCTAAGGGCTCAATGTGGACAAGGCTAAGAGTTAAAATCTCCAGGGAACCCAATCATAGAATACCCTAGACTCTTGTATCTTTTACTTCCTGATGCTTGACCAGGTTTTCAAGATAAATGTCAGAGAAAAATCCCTTGTGCTTGTGTTCTGGCAGGAGGACAGCTAAAGCAACCATTTTAAAATGCACCAGAGCATCCTGTTCTTAAGAAGGTATGCCCTCAGGAAAACTATGCAACCACAGCCTACCCCTCTAGGGGGTTGGTTTTGTTCCATTTTGTTTTTTGTTTTGCTTTCTCCCTCTCAGGTTTTGTCCAGCCAAATCTACCCAGGGAAAGGGAAATAGTCAACACCAGGCCCTGTAGCTACCCTGTCCTCTCTCTAAATTCAGGGGAACAGGCTCATCAAAAGACAGAGACCTAACTATAGAACTATAGAATGCTTGCCCTCCCCACACATTTTACTGTACTAAAGGCCCATTTACCAAAATTCCTTGTAATTAATGTCCATTTTTCAATGACAAATTGTATGGTATACTAAAAGTTCTCTGCCTCTCTCTCTCTCTCTCTCAAACACACACACACACACACACACACACACACACACACACACACACAGCTTGAAAAGACCAAACAAGCATCAGAACTAGAGTCAGATATGACAAGAATGTAGGAATTATCTGACTGAGAATTTAAAACAACTGTGATTAATATGCTAAGGGCGCTAATGGAAAAGTAAGCAACATGCAAGGACACATGTAAGCAAGTAGAATGTGAGATGGACATTCTAAGAAAGAATCCAAAAGAACTGATAGAAATCAAAAACATTATAAAAAATGATGAATGACTTTGAAGGGCTCATTAGCGGATAGGGTACAGTTCGATATGTATTTATTTTTTAAAACATCTAAGGTAATCCTAGTAATAAATAAAAGGAAGGGGTATGATTTTGAAAATTGACATAGATTTTTAAGATGACAGACAATTCACAGAAGAGGAAACATTAATGGCTAGAGTTTGCTCAACTCCACAAATTCTCATGGAATACAAATTATAATAGTGAGATACCATGTTTTTGCAAAACAGATTGTCCTTATCCAAGGTGATATACTAGTGACACATAGATATCACTTTTTTAGATGTTGTTTGGACCGCAATTTGACAGCACCAAAAGTCCATGCCTTTTGACCAGCATTTTGACCTTGTTTCATTTGTCTTAGTCAATTTATTCAGGTGTGCGCACAAAGCAGCAAAGAATATTTATTACAACAAAATTTAAAATAGAAAAAAATGGAAACAACTTAAATGGCCATCACTAAGGACACTGGCTAAATTCTACGACGTCTGTGGAATACAATGTAGCAGTGAAAAATAATGAAGATTTATAGGGAAAAGACCATATGAATGGACTTATGAAAAGACCTCAAAGGGCGAGGGATTTAGCTCAGTGGTTCTGCCACCTGCCTCGCAAGCAAGTGCAAGGTCCTGAGTTCAATCTCCGGTACCAAAAAAAAAAGACCTCAAAGACATATTGTTATTGAAAGTTGCAAGTTGCAGAATACTATAAAACACTACAAAAAAGCATCATAAATGAACACACAGGACTACACATTTCTCTATGTAAGTGAGGTCATGCAAATGCATATAAGAATATCCAAAAAAAAAAAAAATTAAAGAAAATCGGAACAGATTTATACCCAACTGGTAATAGCAATACCTGAGGAAAAGGAAGTAAGTTGATGATGAGAGGATTGTCTTAATCCATTTGTACTGCTAAAGAAAAATATCACAGACTGGGTAATTTAGAAACAATAGAAAATGATTTCTCATACTTTTGGAGGCTAGGAAGTCCAAGATCGAGCAGGTCAGCAGGTACAGTGTCTGGGGTGGGGCTGTTCCCTGCTTCTAAGATGGCACCTTGAATGCTGTGTCCTCCAAAAGGTACAAGTCTTGTGTCATACTGCATTCCCTTCATCATATGGCAGAAGACTTGGAGAAGGGAATAAACCCATTCCCTCAAGCGCTTTTACAAGAGTCCCAATCCCATCCATGAGGGACCTGTCTTGATGACTTACCAATCTCCTGCAGGGCCCATCTCTTAATACTATCCCAGGGGTGACTAAGTTTTTTCTTTTGTTTTTTTTCCCCTGGTACCAGGGATCCAACTCAGGACTTTGCGCTTGTGAATCAGGTGAGGTGCCACTGAGCTAAATCTCCAGCCCAACTGAGTTTTAACTTACAATTTTGGGGAGAAACATTCAGCCTATAACAAGAATCAAAGGGATTTTTGTCTTTATCTGTATAGAATTTTTTATAATAAGAATGTATTCATGTGTACTTACACAACTAAAAATGATTTTTAAAAGAATGGGAAAGGGGAACAAGACTATTTGTCTTCCTGAGACGGACAAATAAATCGATAGAACTGACTGAGGAATTGTGTGTTGGGAGGGATGGAATTTTTCCCTGAAGAAATGAGCACAGTACTCTCCCTTATGCCTCTATGTGCAAAATCAGCTAACTCCTTGGTACTTAGGTCCCACATATTTCCATTGGCTGTGCAGCTCCAGACCTGTCCCAAAGGAGTGTGGCAGCTCACTAGCTCTATGCCTACTCGCTCAGAATGTGGGATGTACAAGCCTGGGGACAATTATTCTGGGTGCTAAGCACCCGGGAACCTCAGTGGAACATGATCATCTATAGTCAACAACTCAATGTCAGATCATTTATCTTGGCTTTGCTCTAGGGGGGGTTCATTATACAGAGAATATAAAGCACTTCATTTTTATACAGCTTAACATTTATGAGTCTACGGCATCTACAGTTTTAAAATAGAGACTCTGGAATAGTTTGAACATACTAAATTAGCATTTTTAACAAATCAACCAAAGAGAATTTGTGAGTGACAAGGATAGTGAGAATATAGCATCACTCAGGCTTAAGAATTGAGAGACAGTAACACTGAGTCAGGCTGAACAAACAAACAAAAACAAAGCAGGCAACTGGGGATAGGAAGCAATCTGGAAATAAGAAATGTCTACACATCAGGCTAAGTGTCATTACCTCAGTAGATTCACTTCGCTTCATCGTTTATCTTTTTGTTTTTCCAGATGAGGGGTTAAATGGGGGAAGTATGAATGAGCCCTTCATCCTCAGAGAATGTCTGGCTTAAAATATTAACCACAGAAACTTTTATTTTCTTCTGAAACAATATTTTTCATCTCAATCCAGCTAACATGAGCGTTTAAAAAATATTTTGCTGGCAAAGATTACAATCGCAGATGCACTGGGCCAGGCATCGCATTCCCTTCATCATTAACTTGATGAGTGGAGACTTCATACAGAGGATCGTATGCAAGGACCAAGTGTACTGAAAATGGCATTATTGTCTTGGCTCTTGGAAAATTATAATGAGAAAATATGATCAGATATTGAGTCCCAGATCTCATCACAACAATTGGATAATTTTTTCTGTATATGTAATGTGACTACTGTGACCTATCATTTGTAGGTTCTTGGTAGATTAAATAAGACACAATTAAAATTCTGTTGTTTCAGTTGTTGAATCCAGGTCTCTCTCTCTCACACATACATGGGTGCACACGCACATGTATACATATTTAATTGTATGTTTCTATATGCTTGAAACTTTTCGCAGTAAAAAAGTGGAGAAAAACTATTGCTTCCTTTAAAATGTCTTTCAGATTAATCTTTACTGTCTTCTTCCTCAGACTTCACTAGCTGTGGCTGACAATTCCCAGCAGGCTTCCCTGACTCCCTGGGAGGCTCAAGCTATATAGAGCAGCCATTTGTCTCTTCTACAGCCAATCATGCTCCTCCCCCGCCATGTCTTCCCAGGTTTCGCCACAAAAAGCCAAACCTCTCGGTTCAGCTTCCCTGGTTCTCAGTATCCAGCCCCTCCCTCCGGTTTCATCTTGGTCCTCCCTGACTGGTGGGCTCGCCTTCTCAACACTTTGTTTTCTCCTCTGCATCTCTGCTCTGGGAATCCCTACCAGGAGTGTTCTTCCCTGTGGCCTTTACTTGTTTAAATTGGACCTATTCAAGGCACACCCTAAATCTTGCTTCTTTCATTCATTCTCTGTCCTCAACATCTGAAGTTTGAACCACAATCATCAAACCTCCTGCCACTTAGACACAAACAGAATATCTACATTAGTAACCAGCAACAACAATAACAACAAAACAATAACAAACACTCCTCAATGATTCTCTCTCAGCTACTTAAGAACCAGGCAAAGCCAGGCATAATGACACACATCTATGATCCCAGCACTCTGGGAGGCTGAGACAGAAGGATCATACTTTCTAGTCCAGCCTGGGCAACTCAGGAACTAAAAACGTCCTGCCTCAAAACACATTTTTTTTTGTTTAAAAAAGGGCTGAGGATAAGGATGAGGAAGGAGGAATGGGTGTTTATTCTGAGTACAACAGAGACATTAAACTTACTGTATCCAGGCTAAAAAAAGGCTGAGGATGTATCTCAGTGCAAAGTCCTTGAATTCAATCCCCAGTACTGAGAGAAAGAAAGAAAACCAAGACAAAAGAAAAAAGAAGGAACAAGCATCAACTGACAGATGTTGGTAAGTTATTTATCAATTTCATTCAAATAATGTTTCTGAAGGTATACAAAGGTAAATTCACCACAGATATGTGACCACATTATACATTTATTCAACCCGTATTTATTGAGTATCTACTATTTGCCAGGCACTGTTATAGAATTCACATTCTAGTGTTTGAGGTAGAAAGATGGCAAACAACTCATGCACATATTGCATGTTGGAAGATAACAGATCTACAAAAAGAAGAAACAAAAATTTAAAAATTCAAGAATGCAAGGTGGGACTGCTCCATATAGTGGTGATTGCAATTTTATTTGTTTTGGGTTTTTTTGGTACCAGGGATCGAACTCAGGACCTTGCGCTTCCGAGGCAGGCAGCAGAGCCATTGAGCTAAATCCCCGGCTGTGCAGTCAGGCAGGCTCTATTGTATGGGTGACATCTGGAAAGCCCTGAAGAAGGTAAGAGAGTTGGCCATGAAGATAAGTGGGGGAGCGGCATTCCAGGCAGCCACACAAGAGGGACACTACACAGGAATGAGCCTCAGGAGTCTTTCATGTTCTTGTACACATAGCTCAGTGTGGACCCTTCCTGCCTCCCAGCAAAAAAGAGCAAGTTTCCTAACTGGCTTCCTCCATCATTTCTTCCTGATATTCCTCTTTTTTTTTCTTTGGTACCGGGGATCGAACCCGGGTCCTTGCACTTGTGCAGCAGGCAGCGAAACCACTGAGCTAAATCCCTGGCCCCCATGATATTCCTCATTTTCATGGACCTGGCTTTCCAGCTAAGAAAAACTCTCCTGCATTACACATGATAAGTATCCAGTAACTAGGGAACAAATCGGCAATGTGTACTTTTATAGTTGTCCAGCAACTACTACACTGAGGGTCTCAAGGGTGACTCCAGATATTTGTTGGGGCTGGGGGTGTAGCTTGGTGTTAGAACACATGCTTAGCATGGGTAAGACCCTAGGTGCCATCCCAGCACTGCAAACAAATGAACAAAAAGACACATTTGTTACCCAATTGGTGGTCTATGTGAGCAAAGTCTTTTCTTCATAATGTGTCCTCTGGAGAATTGTAAACCAGAACTTAATGCACTAGAGGGGAAAGAAAGAAATTCACATTTAAACCTCTGAGGGAAACTGGCCAAGTGGGGCAAGGGGGAGACGGCAAGAGGCAGGAGAGAAGAAAGGGGGTCACTGCAAGGCCCTCACACGCAATGCTTAAGTGGGCCCATGGGAAATCCAGCCACAGAGGTGCGCTTTGTCATGCCCAGTGTTCAGGGGGCTCTGAATGTTCAAGGACGGATCTGTGTAACATGGAGTCTCTCCAAAGTGAAAATAATGAAGCACAGAAGAGAGCTACAATTTGTACATTTTTAATTTAAAAACACCTGCCATAAATCATGTTTATCGCCTTATGGAAGTCGTTATGGAAAGTACGAGACAAAAGTGAAGAAATAAAAACTAGGATTTCATCTGCCCTACTTCTTAGTCATTTCTTATCATCCAGCCATACACACACTTTAAAAACCATAACAAGCAAAATTCCCCAACCAGAAACACCTTGTCACCTTAATTAGATTGAATTTTATCTTGGCCATGGAAGAGAAATAGTGATTTTTCTAACTGGAAGTAGAGGGGCAAAAAACACTCTGCTTTATTTTTTTTTTTTCCTTCCGGCTTTACAGTTCTTGACAGAGAAGGAGGCAGGCAGGTGACAACATCACTGTTTTTTATCAGGTGTGTAACCAGCCACAGCACAGGCATCTGTCCATCCATGGCCCTGTGCCATGTGCTGCTCGTACATCCATGAACAAGGCAAGAGAGGTCCCTGTGCTCAGGAAGCGCATAGTTTGGGGAAGAACATAGGGATTAAATGAGTAATTTCACCAATAAGCATTTAAGTGCCAATTTTGGAAAGCGTAGGAAAGAAGTTCAGAGGGACTTGGCCGAGGCATGGTCATGGGGGTGCAGTGGGGTCAGGTTTTCTTAAAAAAATGATGGTCCAGCTAAGCCCTGATGGTGGAGTGGTGAGATTTAGTTGGACATGGAGGAGGGGCAATGTCCCCAAAAGGGCTTTAGTAACTACAAGGGGCTAAAGGGCTAGGACTACTGGGAAAATCAGAGTTGCACGGAACAGTATTAGGTTTCTCCAGAGAAACAGGGCCAAAGAAAATTTATAGAGAGAACAGGTCTGCCTCATGGAAGTACCTAGGATGTTTGACCAAATGTCTGGTCATCCCATATCCTGATCAAATTTACATGTGAAATTCACCATTACTAGGATGGTGAGAAATTTAGATGTGGGGGTTATGTACAGAAGGCTTTAAGCAATGCTGAAAAATCTGACTTTTTTTTTTCTTTGGTACCAGGGGTCGAACTTGGAACCTTGTGCTTGCGAGGCAGGCAGCAGCACCACTGAGCTAAATCCCCAGCCCTGACTTTTTTTCTACGAGCAATGGATAGCCACTGAAGCACTTCAAGAAAAAGGACTAACTCTAATGAGTATTGGAGAAAGATTGCTTTGGTTAGTGTATAAGAAAGGAGCAATTTCAAGGGAAGCTTCATAGAAGTGACTTTTAAGTTAAGCCTTGAAGAATGGGTAGGATTTTAATTATTTGGAGAGGAATAATGGGCATTTCAAATAAAATGAATGCCACAGCAAGTGAATAAATATGGAACTTGAAGGTATTCAATGACTAAGCTGTTCCAACTTGAAAATGGGAAATTGAATGGGGGAAAAGGGGTATAAAATGAGCATAGCAAGGTGGCTTGGGGGACAAGTCACAGAGTGCCTTGAGTAACAGGATAAGAAATCCCTGGTTTGATAGCTAATGAGGGGAATTGATGGTTTCTTTGACACATCAGGTATGTTTTGGGAGGATGGCTATTGATGACAGAGGATTGGCAGCTGGAGACAATGCTGACAGAGCATACAGCACCTGGGAAGAAACAATTACAGACTGAAAGACAAGAGGTAATGGAGATACAAAGGAGGAGACAGATTTAATGAGACTAACCTGTGATCAAATCAACAGAGCTTAGCAACTGATCAGACCTGGAGAGTGAGGAAGGGGAATGAATAAAATATAACTCTGCATTTCTAGCCTGAATAATTAAGTGCAGAGCAACAACTTTGACTAGACAGGGGATACAGGAAGAAGAGGAAGATCTGGGTTTGTTTCAGGGAGGCGGAAGGAAGGGAAGAAGGAAGAGAGGGAAGATTAAAAATGTTAAGTTAGACACATTGAATGGGAGGCACTTATAGCATGTTCAGGTAAGACATCTAGCAGGTAGTTAGCACTTTGGGCCTGCAATCCAGGATTAAAGATGGAGTTGGAAATATAGTCACAATTACAATTATGATGTTTCAGTCTTGCTCATTTTAAAATTTGGAAAGAAATTTTTTTTTAAAGTTAACATGGACTAATTTTTCTGTTTGTTAAATACCCTTATCTACTGTCAGTCACCTTCATTACACAAAGGAACATTGTAATTCTGAAAAAAGCATAAAGACTATCATCCCAGAATAAAAATTGAAATTGAATAAATTTAGCTTTATGAAAAACTCCCTCTATCCCCATTTTCTTCATTTTGCTACAAACCTGGAAAACTTGTGTCCCGCAGACTGTCTGATTTGCATTTGGCTACCCTGGGTTGGAGACTTGGGGGGTGTACAAAATCTCTTATCTTACTGACAAGTGATCAGTCTTATCAGTGGGATCTGATAAGATCCTTGGAAAAGTATCTAGAGGTCATAAAGGAAAAGAGAAGAAAATGAAGCATTAGGAAGTCAGCACTTAGCAGAAAGGATAGGCTGAGAGGCAGAAACAGTAAGGGAAAAATCAGAACCAGGAAGAAGAATCCTTCTACCTTTCTGCTACAATCTGATAGAAACTCTTCCTCATGTCCTTGCTGTGGTAGAGAAGAGGTTTTGATCAGGGTGGCAAAGAGGAAGCCACATGACTGTCAGCACTAGGGAAAAGACTCACAAAAAAGCCACAAACCAGAAAAGGAATCAGCAAATGACAGTGAGCCACATCTGTCCCGCCCACTGCCTGACTTGGTACTACACATGAGCTAACAGCAGTTTTTACATTTTTAGATTTTTTTTTTTAATTCAAAAGAACACTATTTCATGATATGTGAAAACTATTTGAAATTCAAATCTCAATGTCTATAAATAGTAGTTTGGCTGGATTACAATCACTATTGGTCATTTACATATTATCTGTGGTGGCTTTTGTGTTACATGACAGAGTCAAGTAGTTGCAAAAGATATTGCATGGTCTACAACATCTAAATTTTTTTATTCTTTTCAATGCTGGCCTCTAGGCAAGTGCTCTAGAGGCCAGCTACACCCCTAGCCCTACAATCTAAAATATTTACTCTCTAACCCTTTTTAGAAAATGTTTGCTGAGGGCTGGAGATTCAGCACAGTGGTGCCACCACCTGCCTCGAAAGCACAAAGTCCTAAGTTCGATCCCCGGTACTAAGAAAGAAAAAAAGAAAATGTTTGCTGAACCTGCATGTGGAGGAAATCAGGTGGGTATGTTAGAAACTCAAGAAGGCACAACCAGGGTGAGCTGTAGAATCCCACCCCTTCCTGCCTTCATCTGAGACCAAGATCACACACCTGGGAACCAGTCTGCAAGCAGGAAGCACGAGATGCATGGTGCATGCTATTCAGCATGCCCCCAAGGAGACAAAGCTATGGAGTGGATGGCATGTTACATGTAGATGGATGTTTTGATTTTTTTCATTGTTGTTTTATGTCTGTGTGTTTTCCTATTAAGGATAAAATAAATCCACTCTGCCACTCAGAGCTCGACTTCCCTCCCTAGTCCTAGGTTCTGATTATTGAGGCAAAGTGACATTTTCCTACAGTGCTGGTCATTATTTTGCTCCTGGAATTGCAAATCCAAGGACTAAATGGCACAGTCTGCATACATCAAGGAGGGAAGGGAATCCCACCAGAGGGGCCTTGAAACAAAGGAAACAAATAACTTCAAAACCATATCATGCAATCTGGACCTGACATAGGACAGATGGGACTGAATTGTTTGATTCTCTCAGCAGAACAGCGGAAGGAAATATTTTTAAATGAGATTATATTATTTTCCCCAGTTCTTGTTATGAAACCTTCCTGAAATGAACTTTAAATATCATGGCCCCTGTTGTGATGAATGAGATTCAGCAGACGGGAGGAGCACTGCAAGGAAGTGGCTCCATTATGGAAAATGTGAGAGGCAGAGGCTGGCATGAAGAGTGGACCCCTGTGGGCCCCTTGGCTGTGTGAAAAGCCAGGCTTTGAAGCACAGCTGGGTGTGTTAAGAAGGGACAAGGGGCTTTGAAAAGCTATGTGCTCCACAAAAACATTAAGTAAGGACATTTGTTGTAATAAATAAAACATCTTCTGCATTCTTTGCCTTCAATGAGAAAACGATTTACAACTAGTTATTGTATAGAAGAGAAAAAATATCCTAGAAATGATGAAAATCTTCTTAAAATCAAGCATTAATTCTTTATAATGCTAGGCTTTCCATGCAGAATTTTCCTATGGAAGTTGTCTGTATCATCCAGCCCCCTGAGTAATGACACTGTCGATATCATTCAACTCTGCTGAATAATAAAAAAAGTCTCATTTGTGTTCTCGAGCCAAATGACTGTCCAGGCAGGATGAAATAGACAAGTGCTGCGTTTGTTGCCTTTGATAGGTGTCTTCCCACACACATCTCATTGTTGGGGTTCCCCAAGATCCTCTGAGGACTGGATCCCATGTCCAACTGATTGTCTGATATTCCCACCAAAAAGTTTCACAACACCTGAAATTTCACTATTTTCCCCCACTCTACTCCCATGCTTCACCATCTCTATAAAAGGTACCAACATCCCTCTTCTCATCAAGTCAGAATTTAGGATCCACCCCAAATTCTTCCCTTTCCCCTAACACCTACATCTAATTTTGCCAGTAAATTCTGGGGGTTGGATTACTTAGTGATGTCTTCCATCTGAAAATTTCCCTTAATAATCATTGCTGCTATTGTAGTTTAGGTGGCGATCATTTCTGATCTGGACTAAAGCAAATATCTCTTATGTGATTTCCCTTCTTCTATTCTCATGGCCCACCCCTCAGACCATTCTCCATGCAGTTAAAAATAATGACTCTTGAAGAATAAGTAAGACCACATCAATGCTCTGCTTAAGACTCTTCAGTGACATCCCATGGCATTTAAAATGAAATCCAGGCCTATAAATCCTACATGAGCTGATCTGGCTATTACTCTAGCTCAGAGGTGGCTAACCTATGGCACACATGCTGCAGTGGGCTATTTGTTATCATTGAAAGCTCGAAAAGATTTGCCTTCACTGCTCTAGCTCCTTCTCAGTCTCCCTTTTCCCCACTCTGTTTTCCAGCAGCATCTGTCTTTTCTCTTGTTCACTCTTCTGAGTCTGTGTTTTCAGTTCCCAGTAAAGTTCACCTACCATTCCCCAAATTCACAGCCTGCCATTTTGGATACATGGAATATTCCAACCCTTCCTTTTATTTTAATTATCAGGGGTTGAGGCTGGCTAACTGTCCATATTGGAGTCAAACATGGCCCCAGATCAACACTTTTCTCCTTTGTCTAACTTCTAAGCCCATTGAGAAGGCAAAGGAGCAAGTAGATGAAAACTAAAACATCACCTTTATTACTGACAAAATTGATCCTGGAGAATGTGGCATATGTTACCTGCAAACAAATGCCTTCCTAATAGTAACTCCAGATTCAAAGAGACTTACTTAGCTTCTGAGTCACAGGAGGTGCTGTGTATCTTCAACTTCCCACCATTCACTGGCTGCTATAATTATTTATGTGCCTGTCTTCCCCACTAGTCTGTAAACCTCTTAAGGGAAGACCACAGATAGAGTTAAGAGTGGAGGGAAGAGGTGTGTAAACAGTCATTGTGTATGACTTTGAGGTGTTTTATCACCACATTCCGCAGATTAAGGGACAACACACACTAGCAACAAAATCCCAGTTACAGTGGGACTTTCAAAAACATGTCATCTAGCACAGAGTTCCCTAGAAGGACATAGAGTTCCATCTGGAAGTCTGAATTCCAGAGACCTCTGTCTCTCTCCAGCCTCAACTAGGGTAGAGCCAGTATGATGGCACACACCTATAATGCCATCTATCTGGAGAGCTAAGGCAGGATGATCTCAAATTCCAGGCCAGCCTGAATAACTTAGCAAGACCTTGTATCAAAATAAAAAATAAAAATGACTGGAGGTATAGCTCAATGGTAGCTAGCCACTGGGTTTTATCTCTGGTACAGCAGAAAAAGAAAAAGGAAAAAAAAGAAGAAGAAACAGGGAAAGCCTATCCTCCTCACAATAAAGTTATAGGCTTTGGGTGTCTTTTCTTTTTTAAATGTTCTAAAAACAGAAAAAACATCTGTCAGACATACTGCCCATGACTTCAGGGTTAAACGGTTCAATCTATGTTGCAGTAACTTTGACTCCTGGTAACAGAACAGGCCCTCAGATATTAAATTTGGTCTTGTTCTAAAACCAGTGCAGCTACATTTGAAGTATCTCTCTTCCAAGGAGATTTAAGCAACTCCTACATAATATGTATGTCGGACTAATCGTTATGCGGGCATTACTGAGAAAGTGGTATAATCACTACTTATAATCCACAATCTGTCTAACTCTGCTATCTCACACTGCATTTACATTCTTTGCAGAGAGTAATATTTAAGCCTGAAATACTGCATATACCGAGGAGGAATGCACTTACATGTAGGACAGGCAGCCCACGGGGAAAGTCTAACCTGCCAGGATTGAGGACAGTAGGAAATGGAGTTATTAATATGTAAGTCACAACCCAGATGGAACAAGCACAGTTCCCAAGGCAGAGAAAACAGTAGGTCTGCTCTGACCCCCATCCTAGAGGACCCTGGGGGTCAAGGGACTAATCGGGGAGGTGGTACAATCATTGCTGCTAAGGAAGACCAAAGACTCCTACAGAGAGAGGTATATATACTTGTACATGGATCTATGTTGGTTAATTTCTACAATGAATCTGAAAAGAACCACAATAACCCCACCATGTTCCACATACAAATTCTAATTGCACAGGGTCCTTTGGAAGCTTTGTCCCCTCAAAGAGGCCTCGGTGTTTATACTGACCTTCAACTTTACCAAACTGTCCAGTGGAGGGAGGGAGACCTAGTGGGACTCCCCTGAGCCCATCATTTGTAGGCAGAAGTGTAGAACTGTGCCTCTAAAATATATTAAAATGGTTCATTTGTTTCTCTCTCTCTCTCTCTCTCTCTCTCTCTCTCTCTCTCTCCAGCAGGAATGTGGATGTCACACCTCCCAGGCACAGTTTGTGTTGTACACAGTAGGTGTTTCAGTAGGTGTTTGT